CAGAACTGGCTTTGACAAGCACTGTGGCATTTGGACAAGAACAAACTGGGAGGAGGGTAGAGAGAATAGTGCAACAATGAATGAGTGGAAGCCCAAAATCTCTGTAAATGTTTATGAAAATTAATAAAATATAATTATAGAAAAAACAAACAGACATGGGGCGGGGGAAGAAGAACGAACTGGGGAGGAGGGTGGAGAAAACAGTGTAACAATGAATGAATGAAAACCCAAAATCTCTGTAAATGTTCATTAAAACTAATAAAATTTAATAATGAAAAAAGAAAAGCAAATTTTTTAATTTTTTAAATTAATTTTAATGAAAGTTTACAGAGACATAGGGTTTCCAGTCATTCACTGTTGCACTTTTCTCTTTCGTTGTTATGCAGTTCCTCACCCCAAGTCCACTCCACTCTGCAGCCTTAATTCTGGACTCCTGTCATGACAATACCTAATCATATATCCCTTTTAAACAGTTTCAATGCAGGATACATCATTCATCCCCTCCTTCTCCGTCTTCCCTCAACCCTGATGTCTCATTATACAACAGTGGTCCTATGCAATATTTGTCCTTTTCACGGCTGAGATATTTCACTCAGCATAATGTCCTCCAGGCTCACCCATTTTGCATATTTCATGAGTTTCTTGTTTTTCAATGCTGCTTAGTATTCCATTGTGTGAATATACCAGAGCTTCTCTATTCATTCATTTGTTGATGGGCACTTGGGTTGTTTCCAGCTGTTTGCTATTGTGAACAAAGCTGCGACAAACATGGGTGTGCATATATCTGCTTGGGTGGCGGTTATGGTTTCTTTAGGGTATATTCCCAGTAGTGGACTTGCTGGGCCAAATGGTATCTCCATTTGCAACTTTTTGAGAAAGCGCCATACTGCCTTCCACAGTGGTTGCACCATTTTACACTCCCACCAACAGTGAATAAGGGTTCCAGTTTCTCCACAACCTCATCAGCATTTGATGTTTGCTGTTCTGTTAAATTTTGCTATTTTTACTGGGGTGAGATGATATCTCATAGTTTTGAGAAAAGCTAATTTCTTTTCTTTTTTTTCTTTTTGAGAAAAGCTAATTTCTGACACCACAGGTTTCCTAGGCTGCAATCATGCGAGCAGATCTCCAAGTCTTCTCTTCCATGATGTGGCCAGAGGATTTGAAGCACTGATATTTCAGTTAGCACCTGAGCTAACCACAAGGCCACCAGGGCCCCTGGACTCGAGACTTGGGACATTTCTCTTAGGTTTCTCCACAAATGTCTCAGAACCCATGGCTGGACATCTCAAACTGAACCCTCATGTAGAGAAACCACCACTTAAAGCAACATTGCTCACCCGAAGAAGAAAAATCCACTCCTGTCAAATCACTTCCATCTGATGGTGACCCTGCCTGTGTCAGAGGAGAACTGCCCCACGCTTTCTCTTGGCTGTGGTAGCAGCTCCCCAGGCCTTCCTTCCACGGTGCTGCTGTATGGTGAACTGCTAACTCTTTTAGGTTAAGTGAGTGCAAACCATTTGTACCAGCCAGGGACCCACGTGAAGCAGGTACTTCAATCCCCTTTTTCAGGTAGGAAAGTAGGCACAGAGAAAGAAGTTAAATAACTTGCTCAAGTTACCACAGTTTGGAAGTGGAACAGCCTGGATTTGAACCCAAGGCTGTCTTTAGAGCACATGGATGTAGCTCTCATATCAATGGCCTCTGTGGAAGCAGCCACCCTCATATCTCAATCCTTTCTCTTAGCCCCTCTTTCAGCTTTATCACTTCCCTCTTAGATGACACAGATAGTCTCTCTGGCCATTTATGCCTCTCTAATTCATGGGTACATGCAGCCAGGAAGGGAGTTCTTTCTAAATCAGACTCGAGATTACTCCTTAAGTAAAAGCCACAAACCTGGCTTTTCAGGAGAGTCCACATCCTCTGATCTTGCCTTAAGGCCCTTACTCATCTGCCTCCAACCTTAGCCCCTCCTCGCTATCATACTACACTTTCAGGACTGGCTTAGCCCTCCCTAGACCCCCTGTTTGGGCTCCTTCTTCACAGTCCTGTTATACACACTTCTGGACAGCCACCTAGTACACAAGCCCCACCGCACATATATTTTTGTGGAAGCAAATGAGGATACTTTTGAGTAGATGACAAACTTTGTCCCCTTAGCAGGAAAACCTGTAAGTCAGCAAAAGGAAAATCTTTTGCCTGGCAAGTCATAAAACTATGAGAAATGTATTCCTTGTTATGCTGTTCCAGAATGTGGGTCTTCGGGTATGCCTGTGTTAAACAAAGCATATCTTTGAAATGAGCTGTATTTGCAAACAGTTAATAAGATCTGGATCGGAAGGACGATGGCATAGAAAAGAATGATGAGTATGTTTGCGCTTTTGTAAGAGGAATTCCAGGAGTCATTCTGAAAACAAGTGTTCTGTTTTTTTCTCAAGATAAACATTGTATAAATTGGTTGCTTGCTGGGAAATAAAGCACTTAGACTTAATGGGGTTCTAAGACCCTTGCTCCCTTTTTGTCTCTTATTTCCCAAGTCACCTGAATCCTCTGTCAGAAATCCTGATCTGTTGAGGGGGACTTAACACACTCTCTTTCCCGGGCCTTGGGAGCAGGAATAGCAGCTCCAAGTTGCAGAGTCATAGAGCAGCCAGGGTCCAGCACAGGCACGCAATACGCCGTTTCCTTAGGTGAAATCGGCTTCACGGCCTCTCTGGGTGGTCTCAGTCATTTCTTGCCTCATTTTCCTCTGATATCAAATGACTTCTTGCTTCTGAGCGGATGCCAAGGACTGAGCCAGAGCCTGGCACTCAGTAGGAGCTCAATGTGTGCTCATGGAAGGCAGGGGAGTGGTGGGTAGAAGGCAAGTGGGTATAAAAGCAGAAAGCCTTGGTTTTCTGTGTGTCAGGCAGGTTAGGTATTGGCCATCTGTCATGGTGCAGAGTTGCTTTTGTGTGGCCTTTCTAACATAGTCTCAATGCTCACAAAATAATTAGTTGGGGCTATGCAAATAAGAGACGGAAAACTTGCAGGAATAGAACAACAACTATGTAAATTAGGTGGCTACAGCCTATCTTGCTTGGATCCACATTCAACACCATGGGCACCAGCAGTCAAGAAATCAAATAGCGCACTCGGAAAGTGTTCTGTCCGGGATCTCGCCAAAATCCTGAAGAGCAATGAAGACTTAAAGACTGTAGTGCACCTGATTTGAGTCATGGTCTTTTCAACACCTGCTATGCATCTGAGATCTAGGCAATGAATGAGAACGATGAAAGAAGGATTTATGCCTTTGAGTTGTGTTGGAAAAATGAACTGTCAAAAGAACAAACGCACAGGTCTTGGAAAGAGTGCAGACAGAGTGCTCCTGGGTGGCAAGGGTGGTAAAGCTTCATCTCACATACTCTGCGCATGTTAGGAGAGGCTATTCCTTGGAGAAGGACGTCACACTTGGAAAGGTGGAGGGTCAGTGTAAAAGACCCTTAACCAGGTGGATTGACACAGTGGCCATAGCAATGGTCTCAAGTATATGAAAGGTGATAAAGATGGCAGAGAACATAGGATAGGGGTAAGCTCTGTTGGTTTCTGGGTCGCTATGAGTTATGCTTGACTCAAAGGCACAATGGCCTACCCAGGGGCTTATTTTTGCCATCCCACTAGGCTTCAAAAGACCAGTCTTACTGAAGTTGAGGAGGAACTTAACTACCATCCAGAAAAAGTCAGACTAGAGTGGATCCCTTTGGAGCTGAAGTCCCTGAACTGAGGACCACCTAGACCCAGTGGAGGCGATCACATGTGTGTTCGGTGAGGAGGCCTTTCCTCTGGTGACCTAGCTGCCAAAGCCCGCTCAGGCTGGTTGCTTCTCTGGGGCTGGATTTCTGGAAAGCATCGATGCTGGGCTGGCAGGAGACACCAGCAAGGGCTCAGAGGCTAATGCAGGGAACTGCAGTAATTACTTACAAAGTCAGATGTCCTACTTAGAAGCTCAGTGCTCCCTGCCAGGCAGTCAGCACCCCTCAACCAACATGGAATCCAGGGGGCCCCGTGTTTGGTCTGCCCACCCTCAGCTCCTGTTCCTCTCAGGGCCTCAGCCATTCCGTCTGCCAAGTGGAGCCAATCAGCACCCCTAGTCACTGAAATAGCTTTGGAATAAAGACTCAGAAAAACATTGTACAAACCAACGGGGTTGTTATTGAACCCAGCAGCGGGGTCAGAGGAGAGGAAGGTGGAGGAAGTGCTTGGAGCTCCTGCCCTGAGCCCCATGAGGGTCCTGGAACTGACCAGTACAGTACAGATGCAGAGACAGATGCAGGTACTGGGCAGAAAGAAGAGTACCCGCTGAGGAGGGGGCTGGAGGCTGCGCCCTGGCCCCCCACTTCCTCCCTAGGCCTCAGTTTCTTCTTCTGTCTGGCTCCTCCAAGGGCCACAGTGAGGCTCCAGGTGGAAAGCAGGTGTGGACGAGCTTCGCAAACCGTGGAGCGCAGTGCAGACACTCAGTGAACTGCCTGGTGCTCCTGGGGACGGTGGAGCTGGCAAGAATACTGTTTGTGGCCTCGGGGCCTGTTCTCTGAGCACCCCTCCCCCAAGTCTCAACACCTGCTCCTTTCTCCATTCTGGCAACCTCTGCTTGTGGTCAGAGTCCTGGATGGGAAGCAGCTGAGGCCTGGGGGGCAGAGCTGTGCGCTCCCTCCCTGACCTGTGGCTCTGTAGTGTCCTGCCTGCAGGTGAGCAAGTGAGTGTCATGCTCTGGAGGCTGGAAGGGGCCCAGCCTTGTCCTGATTGTCACTCTTACAGCAATGAGGTCTCCCGTGTGTCTGGGTGCAGGTAGCCCCTCCGCCGGGTCCTTGGTGAAGTCTTCCTCTCAGCACCTGCATAGCTACCAGCCAGGGGCAGGGGCAGCGGGAGCCTCACCCAGCAGAGGTCCGAGCCCAGCCGGTCCCCCTCCTCGCTGGCTCACAGCTTCAAAGCAGGGGTGTGGGGGTGGGAAGACAGCGAGCCCATCAGAGCAGAGCCTTGAAGAGGAAGGAAAGGGAGGCTCCACAAGACAGTCCCAGGGCCAAGAAGAAGGTCATGAGGGCACCGGCCACCTCCCGCTCGTGTGGCAGCACCTGCCTGGAACACAAGGGGAGTACTCTGAGAACCCCGGCCCAGCCTGATGCCCTCTGCCCCCCACCCCAAGATGACAGGAAAACTAACAGCCAGTCTGGACTCAGACCACCCCCTCTAGTGTAAGACAGTTTGGGGTCTCTTCCCTCTAGGCCCATTTTCTGAACCATAAATGAGGCCACTGGACTTGGAGACCTCTACGAGGCTTTGGGATACAACATTAAGGGACTCTAGATCTCCTTGACATTTTTTGACAAAACATTCCCAACCTAGTCCTTTCCTCGCTTCACCTCCTCCTGCAATTCCACCCCACTTCTGCTTAGAGGAAAAAAAATAATAATCCCTATTTTTGATAAAAATCTTTGTTCTCACTCAGTTGAGAATGTTAGAGCTTAACAGGCCATTAAGGGAGAGTCATCAAAACTCTTGATTTTACAGATGGGGAAACTGAGGCCCAGAGGAGCATTGAGGTGCTCAAGGTCCCAAAGGCCCCACAACTGGCATGTGGGACTGTTCTGGGTGCTTCCCCCAGTGTAGTGTTCTTCACCGAGCAATTAAGGCTTGACCCCATGGGGACAGCATCAGCAAGGCCTGCGGACATCTGGGGCTGGGCAGGTCTGAGGAAGAGGTCCCCTCCTTTGCAGGCTGCCATCCTCCCTTCTCTGAGAAGCAGCCCAGCGCCTCCTCCCCACACCCTCCAGACCTGGGTGCCAGGCACATGGTGAGGGACACCAGGTAGCCGTTGGAGATGGCGAACAGCAGCATGAAGGTGATGAAGTAGGCGTCCTGGGGGAAGAGCACGGGCAGCCGGGACCTCTCGGGCACGTGGCACAGCATGAAGAGGGGGATGAACAGGAAACGCAGGCACACGAGCAGCGGCAGCAGACGGCTGTCCTCATCTGGCTGCAGAAGAGGCCGGGGTGAGCGTGGGCCCCAAGACGCCCAGGACAGACCCACAGATGGCTCTTCTGACTTCAGACCCACCCCATCCGACCATGGGGTCCATGGAGAGCATGAGTGGGGTGAGGTCACCAGCGGTCAGGGACCAGCTCTGCCTTCCTGAGCTCTGACTGGTGTTCCTGCCGTGTCAGGACTGGAAGAAGCCATTACTGCATCAAACTCGGTTCCCCAGGGCACCCCAGGGTACCTGTGCCCCTTTGGGGCAGACAGTTGTTGCATGGGACTGGAAGCTGGGGATCCAGGCCCCATCCCACCTTTGGTTAGAGAAGCTCTGCTTTGGTCTGCTTCATTCATTGTTCTTCTTTAGAAGATTCTAGCTAAAGGAACTGTCAGACCAAATCAGGTGTGAGTGAATGGATTCTGCTCCTCACGGGGGGCCGGTATGTGTCAGGGCAGCACTGTATTCTGCGGGTTTTCACAGGCTGGCTTTTTGGGAGCAGAGAACCGAGCGCTCTTTCTTAGATGCTTCTGGGTGGCTTCAAACTGACAGCCTTGGGTTAGCAGTCAAGCACCTAAGCATTGATCCCACTAAGGGATTCTTTATGGACAGCTGCCACTGCCATCGAACATGCAGCGAAGGGCCTTTTCCCATCCCGAGAGCAAAAACGAGCGAAGAAAATCAAGACTCAAGGAAGCGATCGGTCTGGGGGACTGACAGACCACAAGGAACACAGCCTCTACCAGCCTGAGAAAGGTGGACTGGCAGTACCGGTACCGGTACCAGGGTCCCACCACCAACCCTTCTCAGCAGCATCACAACACAGGTCCTGGACCAAGTGGGAGGAAAACATGGAGAAACATTCCAGGATGTGAAAATAAAGGCTGGACTTATTCTCTACTGGAGACTGGAGGAGCCCCTGAGATTATGGGATGGCTCTTAATTCATCCCCTCAAACCTGGAGCTGAACCCACTCAGACAGACTCAGTGCCATCGAGTCAGAGCTGAGTCCTAGCTGCCAGCGGGTTTTCAGAGGCTGTAAATCGCACGGGAAGGGATTGCCAATCTTTCTCTGCAGAACCGCTGGTGGACTTGAGCGCCACAGAGACGCCGTCTTTGGGTGGGCTGCACAGCCCCCTACAGACTTCACCACCAGAGCGCAAAACAACAGACAGACTTGGAAAGTGAGCAGTAACACGCAGGGGATGTGCTTCTCCGAATAATCATCACAGGAGGCCAAAAGAGTAGCATTTGCTGAGCTTCAGAAGTTCAGGAGGCGGGAAGGGGCAGGAAAGGTGGGCCAATGGGAACCAGGCACCCAGGGTGGAGGCAGGACGAGTGCTTTACACTGAGGGGACTGCAACTAACAATGCAAAGACCCCGCCGCTATGGTGACAGTGGCACCTCATGGCAGAGATCTGTGCTGCAGGGGTCTTTCAGGAGTAGACCACCAGCCCTCCTTTCCAGAGTGCCACGGGGTGGATTCAAATTGCCGACCTGCTTATAGCAGAGTACTTAACTGTTTACATACCCAGGGACTCCTTAAAAAACAGCTGCTGTTGCGTTTACACCAGTTCATGTGACCTTGTGTATGTTTGAGTTCATTATACTCCACAGGGTTTTCAAAGGCTGGCTTTCTCTGTCAACAAGCCCCTCGGGGTGGATCAGAACCTTCCACCCCTCGGTTAGCAGCGGAGCGGCACCCAGGAGCAGCACCTGGGCTGAAAGCACTCCAAGCACCTTGTCCAAGTCTCATCTGAAGCAGGAAGGTTCTCTGAGAACTGCGGGCTAGGAGCTGGGTGAGCCTGGGCACTGACCTCTGCTTTCCAGATGCTCCGAGTTAAGCCTTGGAGAGCACACCTCCAGGGCCTGCTGCCCACTGGGCCAGCCCTTTCATTGCCAGACCACTTGAGCTTGGGATACTTGTGTGGTTTCATCCCTCTGCCCCCGACTGCTCCCTGACCCTCACAGCACCCCAGGCCACGTGCTCACCCACAGGAAGTAGGAGGTGAGGCTTCGGCCCAGCCAGTCCATGATGTTGAAGAGAAGGAAGCAGCAGATGGGGTTGAAAAACTGACCTGGGGGGTAGGGGAGAGAAAGCTGGTGGTTCATCCAGCCTGACTCCCTTTTCCCCCTTTCCCCTCTCCCTGCCCCTTCTGCACCCCAATACTCACTCCACTTCCCGGGACCGGTGGAGCTGGTCACCATGGCTGTGATGGCAGGGAAGACAGACAGAGTGACTGTGAAGACCAACACAAGGCACAGCGCCATCAGCCAGATCTGGGAGCCGGAGGCAGGGGTGTGAGCCGGAGGGGGCCGTCCAGGGAGTCAAGGCCAACCCCATCCTCCCACCGAAGCCCTGGCCTGGGAGCGGCCAGGCCCAGCTGTGTCCCTGACCCATCATTGTACCCTGTGAGTTGACATACTAAGGCCTCATTCCATTCTACATTCTGTCCTCCGGAAGGGCTGGCCTCACGCCCCTGCGGAGGCTGCCGCAGGGACAGGATGGGCAGGACAGGCGGGAACAGCCGTTTATTGTTCGGGGGTGCGAGGGGGGTTAGAGCCATGGCAAACCTTCTGGAGGACAGCTAAGAGAGAAGGCTTCTCTGGCTGCAGGGGTGCCTCTGGCTCCTTCTCCAGGTCAAGGTCCACACTCAGGGCTGCGTTCTGGGGGCTGTTGGGTATCCCGTTCTTCTCATCTGGGAAAATGAGGAGAGCAGGGGTCTGCCTGAGGTCCAGGCTTTCTGCCAGCCAGATGGCAGGAGACTCCCCACAGTTAACAGAGCAAGCCTGCTCCAGGGCGAGGTGCAATCAACAACAGGAAACACTCTTCTATTTCCTAAGCACCATTCTGTTTCCTAAGCACCGTCCATGCACTACCCCACTGCCATCATTTTACAAGTGAAGAAATGAAGGTTAAGCAACTTGTTCAATGAAATACAGGTTGGATGTGTGAGGCCAGGGTTTCAGCAGAGATGCGTTTAGATGCTGCACTTGTATACAAGTGCTGCTGCCTCCCCATTTTATGGAAGAGGAAACTGAGGCCCAAGGGGCAACAGGGATGATTTCAGCCCACTGACTCCCCTTCACGTCTTTGCCTCTGCTCACACAGGCTACTGGGGATGGGATTATGCTTGGAGATGAGGGAGAATGGCTCCCTGAGAGGGCCCTGTGGCCTTCTCAGGGTGTCCTCGCTTCCCTGCAGGTCCTGGGGCTCACCAGCTTGGAGGAGTTCGGCTTTGGTCTCCAGCTCATGAGTTGGAGTCTGGGACGGCTTCTTGACCAGATGATAGCGGGCAAACTCCTACAGAGGGAAGAGGTGTCTGGCCTGGCTTGAGATCACGACCCTGGACCCCTCCCCACGTCACTGCCTTACAGGTTAGGATTCCCAGGGCCCCAGGTCCTTTCTGCCTCCCCTCGCCTCCCTTGAACTCAGGGCTGCATCTGAGATGCTCTGGGCAGCTCACCAGGTGGTGCAGGCTCAGGTAGCACATGATGGACATGAGGATGCCCACGCAGGGCGTGATGAAGTAGCCCAGTGCAGAGGTCTGAGCATCCACGCCACCTACGGCAGAAGCATCAGTACAGAGGGACCTGGTCCCACCTGCTCTCACAGCGCTTCCCATGATGCACTCTCAGCCCCTGTCCTTCCGCGCCCCCACCTCTACCTTCACCCACAGGCTCAGGACTCTTGTGTGCGCCCCCAGACCAGCCCTCCTCTCCCACTTCCCCGATGACATCTGTGTGCCTACAGCGTTCTTGGATGGTGTGCTTTTTTTTTTTTGGATTGTGTGCTCTTTATGGTCTGAGGAGGAGGAGCCAGAGATCATACAGATGGGAAATTGTGGCTCAAAGAGGCTGTGTGAGCAGAGCTAGGATTTGAACCCAAGCCTGTGGGATCCCCAAACCCTTCTCTTTGGCCTCAACGTCAGCAACCACTGAGAATCTTCTAGCCTGTGGCTATAGGTCGATTCTATCTTCACTCGGCTGTGTTCCTTCACTGCAGAACTGCTCTCATCCAGCACCCTGGAAACCAGTTATTCAGCTCCCTGCATGCCCTCTCCCCTCCACAGAGCCCAGATTGGTCTCCAGACGCCCCCAGGTACTCACTGGCCATAGATAGGAGCATGGCGAGGGCAGCGAAGATGCCAGCCAGGCCCTGGCCGCTGAGGAAGAGGGTGCTGTACGCAGAGGGCATGATCCCAACCACCCCAAAGAGGCTGCCTTGCAGAATTGCACCAAAGGCTGTGGGCAGACAGAGGGGATCAGGGCTTCTGAGAGTGGCACCAGGGTGTACAGGGGATGGGGACCAGGTTGGGGGAGGATGTTGGCCTTCCCAGAGATTATTCCTCTCCCTCCTCCTTCAGTGTAGCTGTGGGGCTTGGGGCCAGGCAGCCTGCTTGCAGGTGACTGTGGATGGCATTTACACTCTCTCTGGGCCTTAGTTTCTCCATCAGGGACATGGGTGACAACAGTGCTGTCTTTCCTTTTTGGAAATGTCAGGCCATCGTGGTTACCAGGAGGAGGCTGGGCTGGGCGGGGGAAGTGGGCGTGGCAGAGCGCTCACAGTTAATGAACCAGATGGAGGCCATGGTGATGGAGAAGAAGGGCCCAGGGCTCAGGTCCACCTTGACCAGCGCCGCCGTCAGGGCGAAGAACAGCAGGATGGCCAGCAGGCTGCCCAGGATCCGCACCGCCTCAGGGATACTGCGCAGAACGGGGCGGAGTGGCATCAGACACATTAGTGGAGGGGAGGTAGCCAAGCTCAGTCAGGGTGGGGCAGTGGGGGTGGAAGGGAGGTAGGGGCAGCAGAAGAGAGGTGAAACGTCCCCCCTGAGCCCCTGCAGAGGATAGGAGAGCCAGCTGGGGCTAGGGGATGGGAGTCCAAGGGGGGCAGCCTCTCACCATTGGTACAGGAAGGAGTTGAGCAGCGTGAAGAACAGCAGTGGCAGCTGGGACAGCAGCGTAACCCAGTTGTTGAAGTTGAAGGGGTCAGCGGGGGCCGTGTGGTTGGTGCCTAGGGTCCCGACTGTGCTGTTTGTCCCTGCCAGCCTCGTCTGGAAGTACTGACATGATGGGGGTGCAGGGTCACCCTACCACCACAAGGACCCCCCCTCCGGCTCCCTCCACCTCCACACTTGTGGTTAATGTCTGCTTCGTCATCGCACAGTCGGAGACACCTGGCACTGGGGTATGTGAGTGAGCAGGGAATCGAGTGGCTGAGCTCTGGCGAGGAGCCCAAGCCCCAGAAGCCCCGGGAGGGGAGGGCGGGGCCCTGCTCCATCTCTAGGTCACTATCCTGTCAGTGCCCTGGTTCCTGCCCCACCCTCACTGCTGCAGCAGCTCCCAGGGGTATTTATTGAGCGCCTACTGTAAGCCAAGCTTTGGCCCAGGTGCTGACCACTGCATTCTCTCTTTAAATGTCCCTCTGAACTTCCTGTTGTGCAGAGGTGAAAGCCTCAGTCCCTTGAGCAGAGCCAGGTTCTGATCTCCTGGCTACACCCCATCCCCACAAAGATTCAGACACCTCAAACTTTCCCTGATTAGCTGCCTCTGTGCCAGTTCCCACTGTCGCCTCCACCTGAAACACCTGACACAACCCACCTCTTCTACGAAGAGTCTCCTTAAGGGAGACACTGCTCCTCCCCTGGGGACCACAGTGAGGCTGTGCTCCAGACCTGGACGGCCTGGTACATTATTAATAGTTCTTTGGGTCCCTCAGGAACCCTGGTGGCATTGTGGATTAAGCACTTGGCCACTAAGTGAAAAGGGAGTTCTGATGGTCTAGGCGTAAGGAGTTGCGCTGCCAACACAAAGGCACAGGGTTTGAATGCACCCTCTGCTCAGTGAGAGAGACAGGCAATCTCTATCTGTGAGATTTACAGCATCTGAACACTCACTGGAGGGTTAGCTATGAGTCAGTTCCAACTCAATGGTATGAAGCAACAACAGCGGCCACTCCACAGGGCAGGGATGAAGCAATCTACCCTCCCAAGTATTTAAGGCCTGGGAGACGTTATGGGTAGTTCTATTCTGTTCTGCGGGATTGTTAGGAGTCATAACTGACGTGGGGGCAGTGTTGTTTCGGTTTATTTTTTCTTTGAAGCCCCTCAAACCAGGAATTAATCCATCTCTGGGCTCAGCCCACAGGCAGGGTCTGAAGAGCTGTTGCACAGAATGCTATGAAATAGCCAGAGCGAGAACCACACCCCCTGCTTCTGCCTCTGCTTCAGGGAATGCAAGTTCCCTTCCTTCTCTTTTGGTCTTGTGTGCCTCGTGCCAAGCACAATTCTGGCCCCCATTTCACGCTCTTCCAGTGAAGAAACGCAAGCCATGCCATTGTAAAGAAAACCAAAGGCTCAATTGCCCAATTTTGGAGTCGCGGGCCCAAGAATGATAAAAAACCAAAAATATGAGTGGCCAGCTGCTCTGATGCTTCCCTAGGTCCCTTAGCTGGGGACCTGGCCCCTCCCGGAACTGGCAGTTCTGAAAGTTGCGTTTTTCCCTCTATCAGCCTCGTGAAAGGCACGTTCGCTGGGACAATCTGTGCCTCGCTGACCAATGAGCAGACAGGGGCCAGTGG